TCTAGCCAGACGTTAAACAATTATTGGAATTTCTGAAATGTGAATTGTTTGTGCCTTCTCATGAAATATCTTTGAATAGAACCGAAAGAGTCCGCAGCTGCGTGTGAGTGTCTGTGGCAAATATGTATGCACATATTTACGTATATATAACCCCATATATATTTATGCTTATGAGAATTATAGGTGCGGCCAGGCTCCTACCAAATGTACCTACATACATACACACACATGCATATGTATATCGCCGTTGGATTAGATGAATAATAGCATTTGGCAGCGACATGACAAAAATGCGCTTAATTAGATTAGTTGTATACGATTATTGCATGAACCTCTGCTCAGATGATGCAGAACTGACAGACCCCGCAGACCCCATAGATGCATACATACATGCATGTAGCTCGCATCCGGCGCGGACTCCTCCAACGGGCGGGAACATGAGCGTGAGCTCATTAGTGCAACATGACCAGACCCAGACCCAGACCCACAACTGACAGACAGACAGACAGACAGACAGACAGACAGACAGACAAGGCAGCTGCTGTTGCGGACATGAACGGACATGTATTGCCAATCCCCCCCTCCCACTCCCCCTCCCTCACAGCCGCTGCTCATAGCCGTTTGACAGGCCCCTCCCCAGCCCCCTGCATCGCATTAGCCCAGCCGCTAGACAACGCGGGCGGGTTACGCAAATGCCAAATAGAAAGACAACAGAACCAAAAAAAATAATTTTAATAAATATATATATATCGTATATATATATATTTGCATATATAGTGTGAACAGGTGGACGTCAACGACGTCTTAATGCTCTTTAATTGTTTTTTTTTCTTTTATAATTGGGTTAAGGACACTTTCGCCTCGATGCACATTTGAACCCATTCACAATGGCTCAGCGGAGAGGGGGGGGGGGGGGGGGGAGGGTTTATATTAAGTAAATTGGTATGTTTGTTCTTGGTCTTGGTCTTGATCTTTCGCAAAGACCCCAGCAGCTGTAGAGTAGAGATATTCGATTATTATCGATTTCCTGATCATCAGATTTGGAGAGTCTATATCCGATATATTCCATTCATTTTAACAGAGATTACGCTCTGCTTTAGTATATATACATTCCTGTATGTTATAATTAAGCTCTGAAAATTTCATAAGGATCGAAATTAAGATATCGAAGTTATTCACGAATGTATTGTTCCCATACTCAGTGTGGAACTGTGGGAAGAAGCAGAAAGTGTGTGTGTGTGTGCGAGTGTGTGAATGTGTGTGTGATGATGTATAAACTCACATATATATTTCAAAGCATACACTTTTTACAGGGTATCGACATGTTGGGTGCACAGTCGAAAGCTCTTGTTTAATTTTTCATTAAACTTGAAATCTATTTATTTTTTTCTTGACATTTTTATTATTTCAATTAAGGGAATATTTAAAGTAAATACTTTGATTCCATACGATTTCAGCTTAAGTATATATATTTTATTAAGAAAGTTCTAATGTAATTCAGTAAATATTCTCATATGAAACTTTAAGCTTCGTTACATGACTTTTCAGTCAAATTAACTTGCTTCATGTATAAGAATTTGCATAAGTGCGTATCAAAGTTAACAGTCAGTTTAACAGTCAGTTGAATAGCACTTTATAGGAGCTGTGCTGCCACCTAGCTTTGTATAACTATCTGGCAACGTCAAGGTTTTCAAATTTTGACAGTTAAATAGGAAATGTTAAATCTTTGCTTGAGTGCTGCCAGCTTATGAATATATCCTGGCTGGCGTTGCCAGTTTGTCAGCATGGCGTTGCCACTCTTGTACACGGTTCGCTTTAAAGAGCATATTAACATGAACTTTGCCAGGCAGATGTCAGAGTCAAATGTCATTCAAATATTGCAATGCCTGATTGGAATCGTTTTCTTATTGCAGGAGAACGGAACGTATCTGTCGGCGCTGTTCTGCCGGGAGCAGGGCTGCAAGGGTCTGGTGATACCCGTGCAGACGAAGACCCTGCAGCCGGACTGGCGCTGTCTCAGCTGCGAGAATGTCTTTCCCCACGCCAAGATGGCGCGCTATCAGGACTTTGCCCTGAACACGATCAACAATCGGATCAACACGTGCAGCGTCCGTGACATGATACACTTCATCAATGAGCTGTGCCCGCGCTTCTGTCCGCCCTCCAACTATGTGCTCATCGAGGCCAAGCTGAATGTTATCTGGCGCATGACGCGTCTGGGCGCCGAGCAGTATACCCCGGACGAGATCGCCATCAAGGATCGCTATCGCGAGGAAATCCTGGCCATATTGCATAAGCTCGGCGCCGGCGAGTGTACGCTGAAGAAGCTCATCAACGAGGAGATCCAGTGAGATGGACGCAACAGTGCGTGCTGACAGTTCTTGGACCCCGCTCTGTCTGTGTGTATTTATGTGCGTGTGCGTGTGTGTGTGCATGTGTGTGTGTGTGTTTGAGCTGGGGCAGCTGTCGGCCATGGAATTGTTGTAGCTAGTAGAAAGTGTATTTTTTTTTCTTCTATTTTGTAAACACACTTTGGGAATACAATAAAAGTCCAGTTCTTTAAAAAAACAACATCATTGCGTGGTTCCGCTGTTGTGAAAAAGAGAGAGAGAGGCGGAGACAGAGACAGAGAGTGAGAGAGATAGAGAGCGGGAGAGAGCGAGAGAGAAAGAACTTTGAAAGCTTTAAAGCTGCCTGGACAGTCAGACATTCCTACAACAACTCGGCTGTTGATCATGATCCAGACTACATATGCATATATATACATATATATATATATACATATGCATATATATGTATGTATATATTGTTATATGGCATATGGTAAGTATTTGGCATGAGCTCTTGTACTAGATATGCGTATGCATAAAGCATTGTAATTTGAATGCCGTTGAAATTCGATGCATTTGCAAATTGGTCAGGTAAGAGACTCTCGTCGGGAGTTCCCGACTAGGGGCTACCCTGCAATCTCATCTCTCCCTCATCAATACGCGATCGTTTGCTTCGATAGCCATTGTCCGTACGAGTCGGTAATGATATATAATTAAAAAATTTGACATTATTTTGCCGTGATATACAAAAAAAAAAAAATCATCAAAAAAATGCATGCCAGAGTTGGTTTTTTGTCAAAAACTTTGATGTAAGCCACCGATATTAGATTCAATTGATTTCCAATCGATAGTAGGGCTCCGTACGAACACAAGGAGGTATAACATTCCAAAATCAGACCTTATATTAACTGGATACATACCAGATATATGAATATATAATATTCTAGAAGCAACATGTCAAGTTGGGTGACTCTAGCTCTTATAACTTACGAGATTTGTTCAAAAAACCGGATTTCGATAACTTTTGCTTATCGATTACTTGAAAACGAAGCAACTTATCGATTATCGGAATTATCTCTAGCTCGTATCGAACAGACAGACTGATCAAGAACATATATACTTTGTGGGGTCGGAGATGCTTCCCGCAGCCTTCGTGTATCCATTTCTGATGGGTTCAGGGTATAACAAGAAAAGCAAAGTGAAAATGAAAACTCCAATCAGATTGTGTAAAAAAATCAATTGTTTTATATTCTTTAATGGCATAACAAATATCATAATTGTACATATAAAATTGTCAATCTATTAAAACTAAACAAAAACAAAATATAGAAAAAATATGTTTTGTGCATGGGTCGGGTGTGCGTGTGTGTGTGTGTGTGTGTGTGTGTGTGTGTGTGTGTGTGTGTGTGTATACGCACGAGTATATCACCGCAAATTACAAAAGTACTCGAAAGTACGCGTTAATGTGAAACATAAGAGAAAGAAAATAAAAAGAAAATCAAGTGTTAACGACTGCGCAATACTCTGTTCACAATGTGATTCAACAATGAAATCAGTCGAAATGCGACGACTGTGAGAGACTGTCGAGTGACTGTCAAACTGTAACAATAGGAAATATCGATCTTTGGGGCTTGGGCGTGATCGATCCAACGAGCTGGTTCACAGCAGTCTATCAAACTTGATGTTGATAGCTTTTCAATTCTGGCAGATATTAAATCTCGGCAGTGGTCCGAGAATTGTATTCATGCCAGGGCTGCGCAGCTAAACAAAATGTATTGCCGGTTCGGTTCACGAACCAGCTCCCTGCCTGAAGAATCGGTTTAAGTTCAAACCTAGTTTTCTCTTTTTCGAATTATACATATGAAAATAATTGAAATATTTAATTTACAATTTTGTACATGCAAGAGGCAATAATTGGAGGCAAAGTTTGTTATACTTTGAGTTATTTTCTTTTCAACCGAATAGTATTTGAAAAGTAACTCGTTCGGTTCGGGTTGTGCTCATTGGAGTTCCGGGCTCGAACTGGTTCCCAGTTCACGGGGCACCAACCAAATATGCTCCTTTTCCGAGCGTGTACAGAGTATGAAGACTGAAGCTTACTTAAAAGTTATTTTCTTTTCATCCGAATAATATTTGAAAAGTAAATCGTTCCGTTCGGTTCATTGGAGTTCCGGGCTCGAACTAGTTCCCAGTTCACGGGGCACCAACCAAATATGCCCCTTTTCCCGCTGTGTACAGAGTATAAAAACAAAACTGTAAACCGAAATTGTTGCGTGTCTAATTGAATTTGTTGTTGTTGTTGTTGTTGTTGTTAGCTTTCTGCTGCTGCAGCCCCCCTCCTACGAACCCCTCGGCCATTGTTGATATATAAATAATGTATGCCTATAGCTATGAATACGTGTATGTGTATGCATGCATGTGTGTGTAGCCCTGACCTAAGCCTACTCTTAGTACATATATTGTCTAGCGCTGCGTGCGGCACACACTTTTCTTTTTGATTTTCATCCGACGTTCTTTTCTTTACAAATTTTCCCTAAAAGCTACACAAGACAAAAAAAAAAAGAAACAGACTAAAAATTAAAAAAAAAAATAATAAAAAAAAAAAAAACAGAGTATAAAAAATTGAAAATCAATAAAAATGATTTAACAAAGTCAAACATTGCCCTGCCCCCGCGTCCCTGCCCCGCCCTGCGCTGCCCTGCCACCGTGCCAGGCCCATCCGGGTGAAGCTAACTGAGCGCCAGCTGCTCGGAATTGAACTTCTGCTCGGCCTTGTGCTCCTGATAGCGCTGCAGCGGCGGAATGGCAAACATGACCAGCCCACTGATGGCGATCATCAGGCCAGCCATGAGGAAGGCCGGCGAATAGGAGCCGGTTATGTCGTACATCCAGCCTGTGAATAAAATATGCACGATTATATATGGCATATACGATATGGATAGGATATGCAACTCACCGCCAATGGGCGGTCCAATGAAGCTGGCGATGCCCTGGAAGAGCAGCAGCAGACCAAAGGCATTGGTCAGCTTCTCCAGGCCCAGCAGATCGACCAATATGACCGAGGTCAGGCCCACATAGGCGCCAATGGTGAAGCCGAACACGGAGCAGTAGATGAGCAGCGAGTTGAAGTCGCCGCACAGCGGCACCATTGCCGTGGCTGCAACAAAAGGGGGCAGGCATTAAGCAACAGCTGGAAAATGACGGCTGTGCCGACTTACCAATGCCGCAGGCGGTGAGGCAAACATTGTAGACGAGCAGGCGATTCACCCACGGCTTGTCCGCTATGTAGCCCAGGATGATGCGTCCAATGGTATTGGCCACGCCGATCGAGGCAATCAGATAGCTGGCCTCCGATTTGCCAATGTTCAGAGTTTCCGCCTGGGAGACAACGTACAGATAGGGCACATTGAAGCCGATGCTTGTGCAGAAATTCGATACGGAGAAGATCACAAAGATCACGTCCTTCAGCAGCGAGAAGTTCATCATTTCCGCGAACGTGTCGCGCGTCTCCTTCGAGCAGCTGATGCAGCCGCAGCATTCGGTCACCTCCTGTGGACGACAAACGGATCGTAAATCGTAACATTTTCTATACCCTTTGAAAATGTCGAAGCAAGGGTAGCATGGTCCTATGCTGATGTATGTAACAGGCAGATCGATATCTTCCGCCCATTTCCATGTTATCGATAAATATCGATTTCGAGATATGTTCATGTGGGCGTAGCTCGAAGATAGAGAAACCAAATTCGGTGTATAGATACTCATTTGGTATAACTTGATCAAAAATGCTACACTTTTTCGAGAACTGCCCCCATTCTAGCCAACATTCAAGGGTAGACTCGTGGGCTTTGGCATGTACACACTTTTTTATAACATTTTGAAGCACTGAAAATTTCATAAAGATCGGACTGTACAGACCGAAGGCATACGAAGAAGAAAGAAGAAAGATGGAAGGGTATCTACTAGTCAGGCATTTTCTTTGAATAATCTTCGCAGCTTTCCATTCAGATCGGACTGTACAGACCGAAGGAACATATACAAAGAAGGAAGAGGAAAGGGTATCTACTGGTCAGGCATTGTCTTAGAGTAACCTTCGCAGCTTTCCCTTTAGATCTTGGTCTAAGTCTTTTCGAACTCCATTCGATTTCGCAATGATCGGACTGTACAGACCGAAGGAACATATACAAAGAAGGAAGAGGGAAGGGTATCTACTGGTCAGGCATTTTCTTAGAGTAACCTTCGCAGCTTTCCTTTCAGATCTGGGCCTATGTCTTTTCGAGTTCGAATGACAAACTTTCATGGTTAGGTAATTAATTGGAACTAGTTCAATCACTAGTGGAACTAGTTCAGTCAGTAGTGGAACTAGTCTAATGCGTTACTGCTTCACTTTTGTTTACAGTTTGGGGTGTCTCGGGTTCAACACAAGTTCTCTTCCGCGTTGCAGCCTAAACACACCTGATCAAGGTCGAATGGCTGGTTGGTTCGCTGGTTGGGTGGTTGCTTGGGTGGTTGGGTGGCCTGTAGGTGCGAGGGGGGGGGGGGGGGGGGGTGAAGGGGTGCTGCAGCGCTACGCATGTCCGATTAGCATATACGCACATTGAAATGAGCCATATGTAAGTAGCTCATGTAAGTTTAATGTAGGCTGATCTAATGAATAATTAACAGGCGGGCCGACGGGTCGCCGCCGTGTGGCCCAAAAGCCGGCGCTACTTGTCGCTGGCGGTTAGTGTCTGTGCGCCCGTAAAGCTGGCAGCAACTGGAACTGGGCCTGGAATCGCCTGGCAATGACACAAACACTGGCCGAGTTCTTTGAGGACAGCGAAATCTTTGTCACCGGCGGCTCGGGCGTGGTCGGCAAGGCGCTAATCGAGAAGCTCCTGCGCTCCTGCAATGTGAAACGGATATATTTGCTGCTGCGTCCGCGACACCAGCTCAATGCCGAGCAGCGGCTGGCCAAGCTGCGCAACGCCAAGGTGTTTCAGGTGCTGCGCTTGCAGAAGCCGCAGGAGCTGGACAAACTGTACGCCATACCGGGCGACGTCTCGGAGCCCGGTCTGGGCATTGATGACCAGCACCGGCAGCTGCTCGAAAATGTTTCGCTGCTGTTCCACTGCGCCGCCACGGTGCGCTTCGATGAGCCGCTGCGCGTTGCCCTCCAGCTGAATGTGGGCGGCACTCTGGAGGCATTGAGATTCGCCGAGCATCTGCAACAGCTGCGCATCTTTGTGCACGTCTCCACCTTCTTTAGCAATCCCTATTTGCAGCGTGTGGATCCCAAGGTGCCTAATCGCTTTCACTCGCATTCCCTTCGCGTCACCTATCGCCACTTGGCTAAGTTCTCTCTCCACTCGTTTCTGTCCTCTTCCAGTGCTATTCCTCGCCCATGGACTGGCGCATGTGTCTGCGGATGCTGCACGAGATCAAGGACGATAACATCCTGGACACGCTCACCCGCAAGTGAGTTTCTATCCATACTCTGTTCTCAGTGTTGGACCTAGGTTAGTTAGACAAAGGGGGTGGAGAAAACGTTTCAACCATCAAGTGACTCTCAAACTGCGAACACGGTGACTCGCAAACTGTTGGAGGTCATCGGTGAGACGACATATTAAACGAAGTCACTCTCAAAGTGATGAGATAAGACTGTGAAACTGTGAAAAGAGCGCCTCGAAAACTGTGGCTTTTGGATATCCAAAAGTAGATCTGTATCGAATGGAATGACAATGACAGTATTTTGTGTGACTCTCAAACTGTCAAACAGAGCACTGACTTCCCCAGCCGTGACTCTAAGACTGTGCTCTCAAAGGTGATAAGAGGGCGCAACATTTTGCGCTTGATCTTTTATGGAGATCACCATCAGAAATCTACAAACTGACTTTTGTGACTTTAAAACTGTAAGCCTATAATTATTAAGCGACAACTGTGACTCCACAACTGCGACCTTAATATGTATACTAAATGGAGTGAGGTTTAATTATTTAAAACTGTAATTTGGTGGAAGTGAAGCTCAAACTAAAAAGCAGTGACTCTTAAACTGCGACCTTCAAACGAACTCCAAACCTGTGACTTTCAACTGTGACTCTAGAACCGCAATCTTCAAACTGTGATTTTAAGAATTGTTGCGACTTGCAGCTCAGATGAGTAAATTGACCAGGTTAACAGGGTCAAGCAATGGGATCAATGGGAAGGATTTGAAGACGAGTGTCAGATGATATTTATGCTTTGCTTGCTACACTTTCCAACACTTAATCCTCTCTAGACTAATTGTGGGCTTTCCCAACACGTACACCTTTACGAAGAACCTGGCCGAGTCTCTGATCAACGACTATCGCACGCGCCTGCCGGTTATCGTCTATCGGCCCTCGATAGGTTTGTTTATCTTTCTCGCTTCTTTTTTTTTCTCCACCCATTAATCGATAACCGATTTAATTGGATTGTGTTTCGGGTACAGTGCTCTTTGCAGTAAGCGACCCGCTGCCCGGCTACGCGCCCTCGCTGATGGGCGCCATGGGCCTCTTCTCGCTGGTGGGCGCCGGCCTGCTGAAGACCGTCTATATAGGGCGCGATGTACACCTGGATATAACACCGCAGGATATGGGCATAAAGGGCATGATCTATTATACCAAGTGCGGCTACGATGCCTACCGTCAGGGGTGAGTGCCTCTATCATAATCCCGCCAACATATATATTTATCTATATATCTATATATTTCCCTTTTACCCTTGCCCCGCACAACTGCAGAACGCCCAAGGAGCTGCTGGTGTACCAAACCTCGTCGCGCAACCACATACCCTTCACGTTCCGGAGAATGGCCACGCACATGGACACAATGAATCTGTGGTACAGTGGCGCCTTCCTCAAGAATCTCTGGGTGCCGGGCTGTCACTATACGGACAATCGTTTCGTCTACAAGTTTCTTGTCTTCACCAAGCAGGTGCTGCCCGCCCTATTCGTGGATCTGCTGCTGCGCCTCTGCGGTCGCCCCCCGGCCATAATGCCCATCATGCGTAAGCTCTACCACACGCTCGAGGTGATGAAGCCCTTCATGTTCAACAACTATGACAGTCCCGGCGCCACAGATCTTAAGCGCATGCTGGAGCAGAACAGAAAGTAAGCCATGTCTATATCTATATCTATATCTATATCTATATCTATATCTATATCTATATCTATATCTATATCTATATCTATATCTATATCTATATCTATATCTATATCTATATCTATATCTATATCTATATCTATATCTATATCTATATCTATATCTATATCTATATCTATATCTATATCTATATCTATATCTATATCTATATCTATATCTATATCTATATCTATATCTATATCTATATCTATATCTATATCTATATCTATATCTATATCTATATCTATATCTATATCTATATCTATATCTATATCTATATCTATATCTATATCTATATCTATATCTATATCTATATCTATATCTATATCTATATCTATATCTATATCTATATCTATATCTATATCTATATCTATATCTAGCACCGAATTCGATCTGTTCGAAGAATACGAATACGCACACCGTACGGATCGCCTGACCTCCGCCTGCAGCAATATGATCCAGAGCATACGGCACGATCTGCTCAACGAGGATCCCAGCACGTTGCCGCGGGCCAAGCTACTAATAAACATGTAAGTAGTTGCACCCAATGAATTATATATATATATATTGTGTATATGTCTGTTTAAATCTCTGACTGCAGCAAGAAAGCCATCTACCATGTGACATGCTTGTTTGTGCTCTATAAGCTGCTGAGCTGGCTCTGGTACCACTTTCTGGCCTAGTTCGTCTGGACGATGTTCGGACTCGCCCTCAACCAAGTTAGATTAAAATATTTTTGTTTTTTTGTTTTTTTTTTTTTTCTTAGACTAGAGCATTATATATTCCTGGAAACTGACTACTTGGCATTTAATTGTTATGGCTCGACTAAGTAGAGTTTAGCTCAAGCCAAACACAAAATGCAGTTGGATGGATCTGGCGTTGCCAGATGTTTACTACAAATTGGTACGTTTTCTTTTTTGTTGCACAAAATATGCGGCCACACTTGGTTTTTTTGTTTGTTTTTATGGCTAATCATCGGAGTCGGAGACGTCTTCGACATCTTGTTGGCCGCAATTGTAGATGGCCAAAATGCTCTCCAGCAGATCATCCCAGACCTCATCGGCCATGGCATTGCCATCCATGCCAAGTCCCAGAGCTAGATGCGTGCGATAAGGGCTTTCAAGTTTTGTTTCCAACAATAGTTGAATTAAATTGAGCAATTTGATACCTTCAATGTATTCCAATTCCTGTAAAGCGGTCTTTATTTTAAACTCTGCTATTTGATCCTTCAAGTTTGTCATTTCCGAAAACTCCAAGCCCTATTTCTACTTCGGCAGCTGCTTAGCGCGCCAGCTGACAGCCTGTCAAATGCAATTCACATTATGTGACCAGGTTTGAATATTTCGAAAATTCGGAATGCTTTTGTTTTTCTGGTATTTAAATGCAGCTTAAAAGTTGCGGATGAGTCTAGCATGTAACATATAAACAACTCTTAAGTTTAAAGAATGTCGAAGGTTCATTGATTATATTCCAAATCAATTTTTAGCTGTTCATTTAAATCTGTCTTGAAATTGGAAATCCTAAAGCCAACAGCTTGTAAAACATCTGAAAGCTTTAAAGTTATATATAAGCTATTATATTACGCACTCTAGAGTTTTGTAGGTTTGTTAATATCTAGGACCCATTCGAAAAGTGTAAAAACTTGAAACCTTTTTTATGATAGAGCTCTATATATATATATATATATATATATGCCTGATAAATACTAGATATAATTGGCTCTTCAGTTGCAAAAGCTAAGTCGGTATATTTGGGATATACTAAAAAGAAAATCTAGCGGTATTTTCATGTAGCATAAAACTTGAGTCTTGAGCTGGGCTTGAGCATAGATGTATCTCGGGAAAATTGTAGATTGATTGCGTGTATTGGATAAACAAAAGTTTGGCAAAGGGTCAAACCAAGGATTTTCAGTTGAAATAGATGAAAATGCAGTTTTCATCTGCCAGAGTCCAGGTTCCAGGAATATTTCAACTTCGGTGCACCGAAGTAGCGGGGTTTTTTTTTTTTTTTTTTGTCGCTAGCCCCTAAGTAGCCTTTGGCTAAGCTAATCAATTAAAATGTTTCGTAGCTGTACACAACAAGTTTTCCATATAAAATTCAAGTGTCAAAAAACCAAAAACTAAATCGACCAGAGTCCAATGAGCGAAGCTGCCGCCAATACACAGCCCGGCGGAGCCGATCCCTGCAAGCAGACGCTACGCCAACGTCTGGTGCAGAGATTGCGGCTGGCACTGGGCCTACCCAGCACATGGAGGCGAGTTCCCTTGACCCCGATGCGGTTTCTGTTCTTTCTGATACGCTGCCTGCTGGCGCTGCTGGTCGTGCTCTACGTGGCGCTGCTCGGCGACGAGTATCAGGCACGCCAGAGGACGCAGCGCCAGCGCCAGGCGCAGCCCAAGTGGTCCGGGTTGCCGTGATTGAATAAAGTCAAATACCAGCTGGCGTGTGTGTGCTTGGCTTACCTGACTCTGGGCCAGCGGATGCGTCTGTCTGAGGGAGCCATAGCGCCTGATGATGCCGGAACCGGAACGCGAATGCGAGAGATCATTCCGTGAGCTGGCGTACTCCGGTATATTGTGCAGCGAGCCCTACAATTCAGTATACGATCAGTGTCGGATCGTGATCGTGGCGTCCACCTACCTGATAGAGTGCATCCGGGCGGTACATGGTGCCGCTGGCGCTGCGCTCCCGGTGCGTCTCGCGCAGCGGCATCAGCTGCGGCTGGCTGGCAAATGTCCGGCCAAAGTCATCGTTGCTGGTGCTCTTCACCACCGTCGGGCCATTGATCTGGTTGGCCTGCCCGTTGAGCAGTCCATTCGAGTTGTTGTTCTGCTTGGACGGCGAACGTGGTTAGTGTGCGGGCGGCACGGGACGGGACGGGGCGTGGGTAGGCACTTACCAAACTGGGCTTGAGATTATGGCCAACGCTGTTGGAGCGACAAAGCCCGCCGCCGCCGACGCCGCCGGAGGCGGAATCTGGTCGCGGCGGCAGCTGCAGATACTGATCCGTTGCCGTTGGCTTCGCTCCGGCGACTTGAGCCTTGAGCGGCTCCAGTTCGGCGGGCGTTACATTTTGATCCATGATCGTCGATTTCTTTGTACGCTTGGTCACTTTGGGGCGCGGCGCCTCCAGTGGCCGGAACATGGCGCCGAATATAATGCAATTGAGCACCACGCCGCCAATGATGAGCATTGCGCCGCGCCAGCCATAGCTCTTGATCAGCAGCTCCGTCAGCGGGGCAAAGACAAAGGTGCCAAAACCGGAGCCGCATACGGCAATGCCCGTGGCCAGGGAGCGGCGCGCCTCGAAGTATTGCGTGACGCTGACAATGGCCGGCAAATAGATGAGCCCGAAGCCCAAGCCAGTGCCGAAGCCAATGGTCACTATCAGCGTGGCCACATTCTGGGCAAACATGCTGCCAATTATGCAGCCGGCCGCCAGAATGGCGCCCGCAATGGTCACCGGTCGACAGCCATAGCGATTCACAAACGAAGAGCTGATGGGACCTGGTTCGGATGCAGTCAATAGCTTATGGATTAGCTCTGTTTCGGATCGGAACATACAGGCACGTTGCCCACTTACCGGATGAAAAGGTAACGCCCACCATTATGGATGCTATCCAGGCGGTATAGCCTTTGCCCTCATTGAAGTACGTGAGAAACTCATTGTAGAATATGCCAAAGGAGTAGGTCATGCCGTCGGCTAAGTGTGGAATAGATAAAAGGGTGTTTATTTTCACAGTGTGGCAACCCTAAAGATTGCTCAAATGGTCTCTTCGAGCTATAAAGATCTAGGCATAATGCTAATACCAGCTAGTTTTAGTTGACAACAGGTTAAATAACTCCAATCGCTTGTCAAAGTTGTAAATAGCGTGTTATTTTGACAGTGTGGCAACCCTAAAGCTTGCTGGTCTAAGCTATAAAGATCTAAACACAAATCTGTTTCGAGTCAATGTAAGTTTGAATAAAGTGTGGCAGCCCTAAGGCTTGCTCAAGTGGTCTCTTCGAGCTATTAAGATCTAGGCATAATGCTGATAAGTTGACAACATGTTTAATTAACTCAGTCGCTTGTCAAAGATTCTTTTCGTTTTTGCACGTGTGGCAACGCCATACAGGCTGCTGCTGTTACAGTTAATATTAATTTTTGAAATGTTGCTTATTTTTTCGCAAAAGTGGCCACATTTTGTCAACTGTCGCACATGTGCTCCAGTGCTGCCAGATGTGCAAAAGACTTTACATATTTAACAAGTAGTTAAACTGCGTGTCAAATTTGCATAGGCAATACTCTTAAAGATATTGAAAAGGCGTCTACTTCGAACTATCACGGACCAAACTAGTTGGATCGGGTCCAATTGGACACATTCCAATTGGATTAAGTCCCGCTCTACAACTAAGCCCCCCAAAAAGTAGGCAACACTTCATTTGACTTGTGGATGAATGTGCGGGAAAAGTGCTTTAAAATTGGGAATTTCGAATAGCTGCTCATAAATCAGTTTAGCTGGCAATTAATGAAATGCCCGCCAGAGCGTTTTTCTGCCCTCCCCCTCCCCATACGCCTCTTTTATGTTTATCAGCAATGCTACCGTTGACATTTTTATGACCCAGAATTAGGCGATCTGATAAGGTGCATGGCCGTTGGCCACATGTGAAGCTTCTTATGGCTCTGACATGATAAGATTGGCCAATTAACCAAAATTAATAATTATGTACAGCCAATTACATGTGCGCCCCTCGTCTGTCCACATGCACACATATCTATATATATATATACTTAGTAATACATATATTTATTTATAAAAGTATCAGCCTAGGCCGTATCGTAAATCAGCTGCTAACTAAATTTTATGGCCGGGCGCTAATCGCGCGTCTGGCTAACAAATTGGATTTGCACGATTAGTGCGTTTATTTCTGCTACACCCCGGCCCTACCCATAGCATAAGCTGGCCAAGGTTTTCTTTTCGCCTTTTCATCCATAGATATTTCTATAGTTTTTGGTTTTTATTGATTTATGAATGCAGCTCCGGGCGGTTGCCATGCGACTGGGCCAGGCAAATTGGTTAGCGACAAATTCAAGTTGAAATTGAAGCAGAAGCTTCAGCAGCAGGAATTTTGAATAGATTTAAAAGTTCACAGTACACAGTACATAGTGCGCACAGTGGTTGGAAATCAATGAACACGCTGCGAAATTATTACCGTCCATGTTTGTATTTAACCTGAAGCTAACTAAAAAAAGTACAGCTGCATCCCAAATACTCAAGAGTTCGGGTTCGCTGCAAAGTTTAAAGCAATAGAAATGCCAGGTTCGAACCCGCAATTGGTTTAGAGCCTAAAATCGAATCGTTGTAAATATTTGTCGGGCTAACAACGATTAATCACATCAACTTAGACTTTGCTTTATCGTTATTATAGCTCTTGATAGCGACACTATCGATTTGATTATAGATTAGGCATTAGTTATTTCAAGTTCTCTGAGTTACCAACTAAAGCATTGTGTTTGTCAAGTGACTGAGAACATGCTGTTCAAGTGCCTGATAGCGTCTACAATTATTCGATTATGTTTAAATACTATGTCAAAGGCATGCATACTTGTCGCTTTATCAGACATCCATTTGGAATAATATGATTATAAATTGGGTTGGAATTGGATTTTCTAGCTCAGATATATATGATAATAAATTGTTTAGGAAAACGTCTTATCTTCGAAGTGTATACCTGACTTGCCCTAAATTTCAATCTTGTCTAGAGACCGCCTTTCTATGCGATTTTCAAGCATATACTACGTTTTGTTATTTTCCTCTATTACACGCTTTACGCTCACTTCGTATGTCTTTCTATCCGATTATCGTCAATTTTTTAAATACATAATTGTCATAACTGGACATGCAATTTGAGTGCGACCATGCCCCACTGTGCGTCCACTTGTTGGCCCGTGTCAAGTGTCCACGCTGGTTAATTGACTTTGGGATAAGCACTTACTGACTATGTGAATCATAAACGAGCCAAAGACCACAACCCAGCCCCAGCCGCCATCTGGGGGCGTGGGCAATGGATCCATATCCATTTCGCATTGCCCATTCCCATTGCCCGGCTGCGTCTGTTGGGATTTTCTGCGTGCTGGCGGTCCGTGCACCATTTTGTGACCTTATCCTGTGGAATGTGTGTGTATATATATGTGTGTGTGTGTGTGTGTGTGTGTGTGTGAGTGGCCCACGGCCCTGCGGCGTTTGTCTTGCCCTCGACCGCTGTAGCTGCTGCTCAAGGTGTATGTGTGCGTGTCTCTCTCTCTCTCTCTCTCTCGGGTCGAGAAGTTCCTTATCTGAGCTGCGGTTTCAACTGCAGCGGCTGCTGTGGCATGTTGTGCGGGCCGTCTGAAATTATTTTAAAAGCAATTAGATATAGAAACATCATATCAGCATAAGTTCGCAATAAACTGTACAGTAAAACGACAAAAAAATCAACCTTAAACAAAGATGCTTAAGAAAATGTCAAGGAAAACTCGTGAAAACATCATGTTTTTTTAAATATTTTTAAATATATTTAAATTAAATATAACATAAATAAATTTTAATTTTTCTCAAGTTATACAGGACTATACATGGTAAAATAAAAAAATTGTTCCTAATTCAAATCAGCTCTGGAGAAGAGGTGCCAATATTTGAGCCACGACTGTAATTTGTCTGGTCAACCAGCTTCAATTTGAGGTGCTGCCAATTTTGCGATATTGGCGTTGCCACACTTTTAACCGTTGACAGATCATAGCTAATGACAATAAAAAGTTTATTTTTCATTGAAAATATTGACGTTGTTGGGCAGAATTGAAAAATTCTTGAAATGCAGCTATCAATGCAAACGGAGACAGATAGAAATGGGAGCTGTTGTTGGGGCTGATGTGTGCAAAACCGAATCGAAGCGGTTATCAGGCGCCACCTTCTGAACTGCCCGTCAATCGGGCGACGTAACGCTGACGAGTCAAAACAAAAACAAATATTTGGCTTGGACCCTCGCAGAGAGAGAGAGACAGCGAGAAAGAGAGAGTATCTCAGAAGTCTAGAAGCTTCGTTGTTTTGTGATTGTTGTTGTTGCTGGACTGCTATCAGCAACGGCCTCTTGAACTGCGCGGGCGCAGACGGGCGCTCAAATAGAGGGGAGGTGGGCCTATGACATGATCCGATCCGATTCGAACCGAAACAAATCGTGCATCAAAACAAATGGCAATGTATGAAAACAGTTTTATTTTTAATTAAAACTCATTTATAGAGTGCCTTTGATTATCAGGCCGCTAGACCCCCAGCGTTTGTTTTGCTGACAATAAAATATATATAAATATACGTATATATAATAATGATATAGGAATTGTACAAACACAGTCGTTAACCGAACAACAGCTGAGCGCAAATCAAATCTGGTTTATGCGTACACAAAATGCCAGATAATCAATCATTGAGCAAGTGATTGAGCAAGTTGTTGTCAAGCTCAATATCCATATTGAAGCTCTAATATAAGGCTTAAGTTTACCCTCTTCAACTGAAAAGCTGTCAATTAGAGTGCTGCCCAATGCTGCCCCGACAATCAATAGCATCTATTGGCAGCACTCCAATTAAACACACACTAGCTGGGTGGTAACACTTTTCTTTTGACTGCAGTGCTGCCAGCTTTTAACTCAATTGCCAAATTAGGTGGCATCACGACAGCATCTTTTTAGGCAGAGGAACGTTTTCAAAAGAATTGACAGTTACAATTCTGAGTGTGAATGCAGCGTTGCCAATGCGGTAATTATGCATCCAACTAGACAGCAGTGGAAACGTTGCATTATCTAATTGAATTTGGAAATAACGTGGGAATGCTGCATTATCTATGGTCAAGCTCTCAAAAACATTCTAAACATTCTACTTTACATTCTTGTACACATTTGTGACGCCTATAAAAGGTGTTCAATTTTATTTTGATTCGGCTTAAAGCGGCTAAGTCTGCACATTTATGCTCGAGTACATGTGTGTATATATAATACGATTTCTTGCATGCCCAATCAACATTGTTGTTCTTGCTGCCCGCAAGTTAAAACAATGCGCAAAAGTTGCAACAATGCAACGCGTTGATTATAATGACACAATAAATGCACAGCGAGCAGAAAACAAAAGAAATATATATATATATATATATATATATATATATATATATATATATATATGTATACAAGAGAATAACAAAGAGGGAAAACAAAATCAGAATCGAAATAACAAGGAAATGCAGCGCTTTTGATAGTGCCGCAAACGGAATACCCTTTCATGAGTTGCAAACAAGTCGAGCGTGCTCGAGTAGCAGATACCCTATACTCAGTGTTCAGTTTTCTTTCTATTGAAATTCGTGCAAATGGGCCTCAAAAAGTTACATATTCCCGTTCTTTGTATGCTACACAAGAGTCGAGATATACCAAATCTGGCAACTGTAGATATGGTCCAAATACAGATATCGATATCGATCTCGATATCGATTTCGATATCGATATATCTGCGCAGTTTCTTTGGGTTTTGAGTTGGCTTTGAGTTGGCAGCACAGTTCCTTGACCTTTTACATAATCTTATATATAATATCGTGACATTTAATGGCTAAATTGTGTGTAACCTTTTGCTAGGGTATTACAATGAATATGAGAACACAATTGCTTGAGTTTTTTATCCGCCGATTATCAGCGAATGCTCACATGTTGCCACAGAAAAGCGCCAGCTTATGTACATGTATATAAGTATAAATATCTGTTATATACATATTTTCCATATAACAAAAGCAAGCGCAGCAGAAGCTGCAGCAGCTGAGGGGCGTCTCCGACAGCAGCAACAAGTGTGTGTGGCAACAGGAAACGGCGCCATGTGACTCACCAGTCACAGTCACCGTCACAGTCGCAGTCACAGTCACCGTTTACGCCTCACACTCACCGCCAAAAGTCGGCGCACGGCGGCGCTGAGCTTTGTGTAATCACAGGCAATTAACTTAGAACGAGGTACCTGAACC